CGGTTCCTATAGGATTCCTATAAGACATTTTCGTAAGGGCCATGACATACTGATTCCTTATTCGCAAAAAGCATCGCCCTAGACTAATTCATTCAAATTTGGGAGGATTTTGAAAATATGGGACAAATACGTCCCTTGGTCCTGAAAGGGTTAAACCGAGGGAAATCCACCTCGGGGGTGAAAGCTTTGGTTGTCTCCGACTTTGGTGATTTCTGGTACTATTCTTAGTTCCTGGTTTCATTCCCGAGAGAATAGAGCTGGGTCTGCAGGTATGCTTAGCTGTACTAAGGCTGTTGTTCAATCTTTGTGTCATGGAATTCTTTCGAACTCTGAACTCGAATTGATGATTTAAAAAAAAAAGCGGGAACATCCGATGGGGACCCAATGATAGCGGAGCAAAAGGAGCTCATACGAATTCTCACTTAGATATGTTAGCAATGGAAAGGAAAACTACGCTACACAGGATGCGTTTAAACAAAATATCAACGACACGTTCCTTCGCATACTTTTCAGCCCCTGGGAACCGAAAATCCCGGAAAAGTTGGAAAGCTATTTCACGACGGAAGTGGGAACCAAAGCCCGGGGATGGGCCATCGTCTTCTACCACGAACAGTTCGACGCGAACCTTCACCTCCCTCCGCGCAAGGAAGCGCAGAAGGACGTGGAGAACCTGACGCGGGTGCTCAAGGACAGGGGGTTCCTCGTCAAGGCGTTCAAGGACTTCAAATATGAGCGCATCAAGGAAAAATTGCACGAGAGTGAGTCGATTCCGAAAATAGATCCTGCGGGGGAATTGTAACGGTGGGCCTTATCTGGGTCTCTCCTTTTCGCTTAACAATCAGTTTTTTTTTATTTTTTCGTAAATAAAGACAGATTTCTGACGAATCGATGTGAGTGGATGGGAGATAAAGCTCCTATTATCTTTGCTTAACACCTACTCATAGTAATGGTGCGAATTTATCATTCTCCATAAGAGTCTTTTGGTTAATACACCAGCAATATGTTATTCCCGTACCTTGAATATATCCCGAAGAAGAGAACCCAACTCCCAATTTGCTAATTCTCAATGTTCCCTTTCATTAGCACAATTTCCTATTCGCAGTCCTGGCTACCCTGGTAGCCGTTAAAATTACGCCCTGTCAAAATTGGCATCCTAACAGTATCTAATGATGCACAGAGGCGAACGACGGACCACCAATGACGTGAACGCAAATGCATAAAAATCGCGCACGGCAGGTAACGACGCACATAGCTACCGCAGTACGGTGCGCCGAAATGGAATGACCGGCTCTGGTTAAAATCTGGGCCTCCAACCGAGATGGCATGCCATCAGAGAAGTTCATTCTTCTTTTATGACCCACTTTGATATCTTTTGGTACGATTTACCTGATAGCTTCATCATGTTGCTGGTGAGCTATCTTCTGCCCCATGTGTACCACTTTTCAAAGAGACAGACAAGTAGAACAAGATTCTTCATTTTGGAAACAAGGCTCATCACGTGCCTCAAATTCATTATCTCCAAAAAGACTTCTCACCATAACTGATAATTTCACATTCTGTTCACAGTCGCTCATTCGCCCGAACTCGCGGATCACGATTGCCTCATCGTGTGCTTCCTGTCTCACGGGAGGGAAGGAGGCCGCCTCTACGCCCAGGATGATTACTTCGAAGAGAGTCGGCTGTGGGTGCCGTTTTATGGGGATGAATGCAGAGACCTAGCGGGAAAACCGAAGCTGTTCTTCATTCAGGTATGACAAATGGTGACGGTTATCGCATCGCCTAAGGAAGGCTACTGACGAACCCATTCAAACCTGTATATTTAATTGGCAGTACGACGCCTATCATATTGGCGCCGGTTTCATTCCCTCCTTTCTGGGAATGTTTTCGTGGCGTTTCTCATTTCCCTCATTGGTTAATCCTCTTGTTTCATGCGGTGCTGTATTTAATTTCATTAGGCATGTAGGGGAGCGTGTTTCGACGAAGGTGTGATTGGAAAGATATTCATTGACGGTGATGACTCGCCCGATCATCACGGCAAAAAAGCAGATGACGATGAATATCACCTCCCAACCCATGCTAACATTCTCGTTGCTCACACCACTTACGAGGGTTAGTTCATCAGCGACTGAACTTCCATTGCGCGATTCCCCTCGGGGAAAATTAAAAGTGTCATCCTCCCATCAGGGCATGTCGCGTTCAAAAACGTGGACATGGGATCGTACTTCATCTACACCTTGTGCCAGGTCTTGGAGAAGCATTCCGAGACTCTGGACGTGATGAGAATGCTCACAATTGTCGCAGGGGTCATGGCCGAGGGCTTCAAATCGAGGAGTTTGGACCCAAGGAAACACAAAAAGAAGCAAATGCCGACCATTCGAAGTACGCTCATAAGAGAAGTCTACCTCAAGCCGAAACCACAAACTTGACCCTTTTTTCCAAAATGCTGTTCAATGTTATAGATACATAAGCCATCCCTTACAATGTTTTCGACATTAATGAATTAAAATTGCTTCCAATTTTTTATATTGAAATTCCGTTCATGAGCATGGGATAGTGAATAAAATCGAAGCTGTGAACCAGAACCTCCACGACTTGTTGATTATTGATGATTCCATACTGCAGTAGGAGGGCATCGTATGCAGCAATTAACGTTATTCCGCAACCAGAAATTGACCAAGATCTCTAATAGTCATAAGAAACCTGGCATTTCCGACCATCGAAGACTCAGGGTGCTCAGTATTTCCCAATAATAAAGGTTGTAAAGAAAGAGCGAGAAGAACCCAGACGATGAGAGAAGAGAAACCTGACAACCCGGCACGAATAACTTTAACCCTTTCAGACCTGGCGTCCATTCCAATGAACATTGCATTTTCATTGTGTATATGGCAATTTCTTAGGATTCTCGTGACCTTGGGCTTCACATTACGCTACAATGGGCACAATTATGCATGGCTCAGTTCCATCAGAGGCCTTCTTTTACCCATTAGTTTTGTAATATTCAGTTATTTAATTAAATGTATAATATATCAGATATAATATATGGCATGATATGGTAAATTTTTGTAGCATATAAAAACTACATATAAAGAATGAAAATTTCAATTACAATTAAAATGAGCTGCAAAATGCAAAAAAATGATATTATTCCAATAGCAGCCTTAATTCAGGTCTGAAAGAGTTAAGCTGAAGGTCGCCAAGTAGCTGGACTGCCTTCGCTTCAAGGTGATTCATTGCTCTGAATGATGAATGGGATCGAATCCTGGATTTTTTATTTATAGGTACGGCACTGCTGCCATGTGCTTGATAATGGCAAAGACAAATAATGGAGTATCAGTAGAGCAAATTTGACTCGGCTGACGTGCTGACTCGCCGAGGATGAGCTGACTCTCACAGTCATGGGTGGCCCATAGCCGAACGATGAATCTTGAAAGGAATGTATTCGTAGACATTTTTAGTTTTAGATGTCAAAAGCGTTGGAAAGGACCTTATCGCACTGATCTAGCCGCATATGTCCATCCGAAGGGCATCAGAGTACAATAAGTGCTATAAAACGTGCTGATAAGGGTGCAAATTAACATAATAATAAAAATTGTTTCCGGTAAAGCAATAGGGCACTTAAAAAGATTCATTCGTTCCCTTCTTATCTAATCTGCCGTGAAAAACCCACATGAATCCCTTCCTGTGATTCATTGGAGGCTGAATATTTCTAACCGGCGTCGACTCGGTCAAGGTGCAGCGAAGACGAGTGTCGCATTTTGGCGGTGCGGAAACCATTTCAATGCATTTCAGTGGGGACCTTCTGTCCCGATAGAAGAAAAGTGAAATCGGATCCCAACGGGAACAGGATGGAGGACGGAGTCCAGTCGTCTGCCGAGCCTCGACGGAGTCCGACACGTGTCGGCTTGAGAACCGTCTTCGACGAGCCCGATACTAAGTAAGACGCATCTGACGAGTCCTGATTTTAGCTCATTCCGCCGAATTCGTGAGATTAACGTAATCGAAATTCTGCAGCCCACACGGGAACGAGGAAGAAAGCAAGGCAGCCTCGCTGACGTCCAACAGAAAGAAAGAAAAAGAAGAAAATTCATGTGAAGCAAGGTAACTTATATTCCAGTGTTTCACTTCTTCGACATGAAAATTAAAGTATGCTCGCATAGTTCCCCTTTCTGGTTTCAATTACGAACGGATTTTCCTTTCTTTTCTGCGTTCAAGGAAGATGCTACCTTTCCAGCCACTACTAACAATTACCGTTTTACTGTATTACCATCGACAGAGAGAAAGCAGAAATGGCCTGAATGGTCACATGAGCACACAAACATTAGATTTCCTGTATCGAGGAAGGGCAGCTTCCCCCCCCCCTTTGAAAACAACGCCGATTCTGAAAAATTGTTTAGTTAACTTAGCGAACCCGTTTCCTCTCCCTCTCGTCAGTCTGGCCCAGTTATGGAGACAATAAGCCATCCGGGGAAAGTTTTCCTTCCTTGATCATGTCTTGGGAGAGGGGGGGGCAAGGGGGGGCAAAGGGGGAGGGGGTGGGAGAGGTCAACTGTTGACCTCCCAAAAATGTGCTATAAAGTTTGCTCCTTAGATCGGACATCGTCAGATAATCACATGTAAATTCAAATTTTAATTTGTCCTGAAAAAAATGGGTCCGGTTTCCCGAAAAGCGCACACCCATTTCTTCACTTCCCATTTTTTTAATATGAATTTTCTCCAGTTGAATGTAGCAGAGACTTTTTCCTTTTCTACCAAGGAACAATCCCACATCGCAAGTTCCCCACATGTGTGCATAGCCGCTGCTTTTAAATTGCTCGACTTCCGACAGCGATAAGAGCGAGAGATAAGCTAAGCTGAATTTTTTTTTTGTTCCTTCGTTCGTCTCTAAAATTCTGAATGCAGAAATTGATGACGTTCTTGGAGGAACCTTCGCCTTAACTTTACTCAGAGGGACATCAAAGGAATTCTAGAGATGTTGGTCGTGTCTTCATTCAATATCAGTATCTCCTGGGAACCAGAAGTACCGGATAAGTTGTACTGCTACCCAGCGAAGAAATTGGGAGCCACAGGATTTCGTGGATGGGCCATCATATTCTACTACGAAGAATTCGACAAGAAACTAAAGCTGCTTCCTCGCAAAGAAGTACAGAAAGATGTGAAGAACTTGACAAGCCTCTTCAACAACCGGGGATATTTCGTGAAAGAATACAAGAACCTCACATACCGCGGCCTCAAGGAAGAAATAATTGGAAGTTAGTTTATTTCATGAGCCCAATTACCTGCGTTCAGTGAAGTACGGGCCTTTCTTTCGAGGAAGGACTTCATTCGTTACTCTGTCGAAGAAAAAAGTAGTGCATTCTAAAGATCAATCACTACAATGCACGTTCGATCAGGTAATCTTCATTTAAACGTGTACCATGAAAAGCTACTACTAAGTTTTTTTGGGGTGCTTTAAGAGAGATGAGGTAGAGAGCGAAGAGCCAGGGAAGAGAGGGTGGAAGGAATTGAGTAAGGGTTCAGGGGTGGAAGTAAAAAAAAAACAGCCTTTGCAGAGATTCCATCCCAGATGAATCCCCTCTCAACGCAGCACCACATGGGTCACGGGTGTGAAACTTAAAAACTCGCTTGGAAAAATGGAATTTTTAAATTAAGTTATCTATTCCTGTAATTACCAGACTGCGCAATTTCATCTAGTTTTCACAGCACATTGATTCGATGAATCTTATTTTGCTTCAAATATAAAAAGTCCAGCCTGTGCCCATATGTGGCAACATAGTTTTTTTTAAATATATATTTACTCTATTCAGGGTGATTCTCGTGAGCTATACCCTTACGAAAATGTCTCATAGGATTCCTATAGGAACCTAAAGGAATCCTATAGGATCCTATATGCCCCATAGAGTTCCCAATAGAACCTATAGAGTCCCCTATTGGACCTATAGAGTTTCCTATAGAACCTATAGATCCCCCTAAAGAACCAATAGGATTCCCCATAGAGCCAATAGGGTTCCCTATGGGACCCAAAGGGTTCTGTATAGGAACCGTAGGGTTCCCTGTAAAACCTATAGGGTTTCCTATAGGACCTGTAGGGTTCGCTATAGGACCTATAGGATTATCTATGGGACCTATAGGATTCTCTATAGGATCTATAGGGTTCCTTATAGGGCCTATAGGGTTCCCTATAGGACATATAGGGTTCCCTATATGACCTATATAATAAAGGGTTCGCTATAGGACCTATAGGATTCTCTATGGGACCTATAGGATTCTCTATAGGATCTATAGGGTTCCCTATAGGGCCTATAGGGTTCCCTATAGGACATATAGGGTTCCCTATATGACCTATATAATAAAATAAAAATAGAGTAAATTCTCAGAACCGAAACAACAATGCCCACTTAGCTCGCCAATGTCATATGTCAATGCTCGTTTCACCTGTTATTCCACGTGGCGCTGCAGCACGGCAATAGGTCGTGGTGCCTGTAACTCCAAAATCAAGAATCCGATTTTCTACCTAGGGCTGTTGTTTGAGAGCAGAATAATGCGCAGAACGTACCTTTCAAGCTTATAGCGAGAGTGTTTCCTGCTGCACACTGCCACACACCTTTCCGGTGTTGGCTCACAGATGCGAGACAGAAAGCACAGGAAATGAACTTTCCAAGTGTGGGCGAGTCCCAATCTCGCAAGCATCGACGGTTAGCAGGGCATATCAGCTTTGACGAATGTTGGAAGGCGGGGAAAATGCAAAAATGCAGCACACAGCGCTGTCGCGATCCGTAAGCACATTTTTTTTACTGCTAGCTCCCGTTTTACATATTTTACACATTAACTTTATATATATCTACATATATCTACTGATGCGACTGCGATATCGGAAAATTATGCATACTTTTTGGAAACCAACTGGGATTATTGTCACAGCTTCCATTCCTTGCGCCGCCGCACGAATCGTAGGTCGACTTGGAAGGGCAAAGTCTCTCACCAATATTCTCCGCGTACCGCTGTCAATTGGAGGATGGCGTCCCACAGGAAATTTCGCTTCGCAAGAGCATATTCCCGAGTGAAAACGAACATTTATTGAGGAATTTTTGCTGTAGCCTCCAGTTCCTATCTGGAAGTGCTTTGCTTGTAAAGCTGTCACATAGGCACACACATGCAAACACACATTTGCCGAATTGTCTAGCGTTCGAAGGGGTGAACGATGCATGCCGTGAAAAAGGAGAACGTCATTCCCCAATTCTGCATTTTGAGAGATGGAAACCACACGAGGAAACAGCAGTGATGGATTTCCTTGCGGATCCCATATGGAAGCAAGGGACGACGAACTCACGAATCGTCCCGTATTTCATCGCGGACGTTTGAAATACCTCATTCACGACATCAGGTGTGAGGCACTGCGGTGAGATGCCTCCGTTCCCTGAGGAGTCCCGCGCCAACCCTCGTCTCCTCGTGCATCTTGAAGATGGCGAGATGAGAGCAAAAACAACGAAGTTGGCAACCATTTGTGTGGTCTTTCTTTAATGTCTTTCGCAAAGGCACATCCTCGGATGATGAGGAAAATCTATGCGGCAACCACCAGTTCATATCTCGAAGCGTTCGGCCCGTAGAGCTGCCCCCCCCCTCCCCCCTACACACACATATTTTTTTACTTGCTGGCGGCCAGGATCATACGCACTATATGTTTTAATTAGACTACCTCGGTTGCTTCCGGCTAGACTTACTCATATTATGATTTACATGCCTGGCAACTTGCAGCAAAGTAAAAATCCGATTCTAACCTGAACTCTAAATCAACATATACCAACTCAAAACTGAAAAGAAAGAAGCATGATTTCAGCTCGACTTGCGGTACTCGTCTTTCTATTCCTTTGAAAGAAGTCATTAGGATCGCGAAGGAATTTAAAAAATTATCAATAACGACTCATTTAAAACCCAAATTAATAGCTTCCAATTGAGTATTGGCATCACCTTGCTAACGCAAAATACAAAGTGCTGATCAACTGGTAATTACTCCCCAGCGAACCGATCTTTACTCAACAGATGTCTCCTCGTAATTAGCTAACCCCAATTCATCTCAATCGAACAACTTCCCACCCAAGTCTATGGTCTGTTTATCGTAGAATGAGGTAGAGGGGGGATAAGTAAAAGCAAAATCGATTACATATCAAATATTATTGGGTAGATGACGACAAGGTGAAGGCATACTCAAGGAGTCCATGGAACGCGGACATGTTTTACCGGAGTAACGACATATATCAAGGCAAATTGAGTCTTTCTACGACTTCCAGCGGAGTCGTTGAAGCAGTCGTTCGTGCTCTTCTCCTTCGTTCTCCTCTAGGCCACTAGATGGAAGTATTGGGTTCTCGCATTTCTCAAAGGGCACAAAAGTGCCCTCCCCTTATGAGTCCCGTGAAGAAATATGCCCTTATTCCTTTTGAAAACCACGTACGAAACTGAGTAGATTCTATCCAAATGGAGTTTCGGTAAATAGACGCGTTCACAGGATCTGTCTTCTATTTCCTTTGGTCGAGAGAAGTATACTACTTCTCTCTACCAAAGAAAGTAGACGTGCAATCCAGTGAAATATGTCGGGTGGGGCCATTAATTATGCCCACCCCCGCCGTACTGGTGTTAATAGTGCATGTCTCCCTACCATGGAAAAAACCCTAATCGGTCTTTGATTTACACCCGAATGCTGCGCCAATATTAACCCCGGTCACATTTTCCGTCGTACTGCCTGGGTTTCGAAACCCAAAATATACTCCCCGAGCGCTACAGGTCAGGAGACCTATAAGACCCTATAGGGATCTTATAGGATTTTGAAGGATCCTATAGGTTTTTCGTGTTTCAAAAACCTATAGGAGCGTCTATAGGTTTCCTATAAGAAATAACTATAGGCTTCCTATAGGACATTATGTTTCAAAAACCTATAGGAAAGTCTATAGGTTTCCTATAAGAAATAACTATAGGCTTCCTATAGGACATTTCCGTAAGGGCGGAGTAATAAGATTCTCACAGTCTGTTCCCTAACTTAGCTTCTTCATGCAAAATAGGTGAAGCACCGCAAAATAAAATTCGTTCGACACTTGAATGCAACCTGGTGTGGTTCGTCTTCAATTCACACAATAGCCATTACGATTTTAAAAAAAATAACGTCACACGGAATGGAAATGAGATTGAAACCGAACGGAACTGAGTCCTAACCCAACACGGTTTTACGAGAACTGAACCCATAATTGCAACATAGTAAGGCTCTTTTTTGAGCGTGAATCAATGGACAACTATTGTGGACGGGAATGCGTTAAGTCAATGGCATGTTAAAGGGTGTCAGATAGATAAGGAAAGGATGAAAGTATCCTCAAGTGCACGTTCCAAAGCGGTGTGCGAAAAGGGGCGACCCGACATTCTTCACGAAAGCTATGTTTAGTTTTCGTTATCCGGTTTCAAGATGCCCACGAAATAATGTCGTTACTTTCCAGAGCTACGACATATATCATGGAGAATGTGGTTTATCTGCTTTAGATCCACCTTATCTGACTTACGACGAGTCGTCGAAGCGGACGTATACCTCATCATACCGACGACACTCCGTAGACGCTGTGTCGAACGAGCCGTCGGATAACCGAGCGATTCCACCTCTTATCCGACCCTTCGGCTATGGCATCGGTATGAATGTCTTCCACGAGGGAGGGAGAGTCGGATACCCGAAACGGGCATTGTGCACACAGCTCAAGGCAGGCGGCATCGTTTCTCGACATCCAGGCGGGTTCACCTCGTCTTCGTCTCGGTCCCCTCTCCTGGATATCGAAAGAAACTCGCCCGCCTACCGATCGGTGTGTAAGTGAGGCCCGTTTTGGTTATCCGACTCTCCCACCTCATGTAACTTATACTTCTCTCTATTTACTGTCTCGGGGATTCCAGATCGGAACCACTGAGCAGCATGGGTCTCTCATATTGGTAAACGTCACGTTCGCTCACGGGCTTCGCCTTGTCTGAGAAATTTCTTCAGAGAAGGCTTTCCAAATTCAACCGGTAATCAGAGTATAAATACTTATGAAACGTTCTGTTGCACGTATCTGATTTCATTGACCATTTCTCCACAATCACCTAATGAGCATAAAATTAAACCCTGGCAACACCAAAACCAAACGAAAAAAAATTAGATGAGATGGGTTCTAAAGTCCCATGGACAAGGAATAGCAATAATTTTACTACTTTGGTCTCCGTTTCAGGTAAACTTCCCCAGTGAGGGTACTACGAATGGTCGGCATCTGCTTCTTGTCATTCTTGAGTGATTCGTTGTGAGTGGACTTGAAATCAAAAGCAATGATCTGTGCAACCATGGTGAGCATCTTTGCCAAATCCAGAGTCTCGGAATGCTTTTCCATCACCTTGGACAGAGTGTAGACGAAGTAGGACCCCAAGTTCGGGTTTTTCCATGCAACATGTCCTGCACGTTCGGAGGAAGGGCACAGCAATCATTTTAACAAAACTGCGACATCCGTAATAGAGCTTGGAATGCATCCAATTTAAAACTGACCTTCGTAGGTGGCGTGAGCTATGAGGATGTTGGCATGCGTGGGGAGGTGATATTCTGCCTCATCGCCGTCATCATCGTCGTCGTCATCAGGCCCATCATGACCAAGTGTGTCATCACAGGAACGTTCGCTGTACTCCTTTCCCTTAAGTCCGACGTCCGAATTCTTTCCCCTACACGCCTGCATACCGCGTACATGAAACCCGATACTTTTAAAATGAAAGAAAACAAACCCAGTAAAATGTGAACCTCAACGAAGGGACGTAATGCATTCGGAAAGGAATCAATGCATCGTGGGATATCGCAGAGTTAATAGGATTCTGGTGTGGAAAACTCCATTCTCGACGCGACAGGAAACGGACAGCCATACCTGAATGAAGAAGAGCTTTGGTTTCCCGAATAGAGCCTCAGACTCGTAGAATCGGTTCCACAATTTCTTCTCGTCGAAGTGCTTATCCTTGGCATAGAGTCGGCCTTCTTTCCCGTGAGACAGGAAGCATACGATGAGGCTATCGAAATCCACGTGTTCTTTCGCAGCAGCAACTATGGCCATAATGAGAAGGTGTCGTCACTTTCTACGACAAGCACGGTTTAAATGCGATAAAGGTGAAGTTTTGGTGGACCTTCGTTCCAAAAATGGCCACGTGGTCCCATTCTTGTTTCTGATCGTATTTTCTCTCATACCCATTTAACTACCCTTACGGAAATGTCCTATAGGACATATTTCTTCACGGGACTCCATGATTATATCTGGAAGAAGGGGATATCAAATAAGGAACTGTCAAAGATCAATCACTACAATGCACGTTCGATCAGGTAATCTTCATTTAAACGTGTACCATGAAAAGCTACTACTAAGTTTTTTTGGGGTGCTTTAA